GCGACCATGTCGATCTAGTCAGGGCCACCCACCAGAACCATTACCAAGAAAATTGGGCTCCAAACCACATCACTACAGGAAACAGACTACCGCGAGACTGCCTGCTCCGTCCACGAAAGGAAAATCGGAACTGCTTCCTCTGAAAAGACGCAGCGTGGCCGAAGTCTTAGACTACTAAGACCTAGTGAACGTCATCAGCCAGAGTCGCAATCGACAAAGGGACCAACCAAGACCCAGTCTCCACCACAACATGGCGAACGACCCAGGCGGCATAGCCAGTGTCGGCCGCCAGAGCCAATTTCGACTAACTTCCGGTGTGATCCGGGCCGACCACCACGATGCAGCCAACCCCGCCCATCTGAAGCGCTGTCAGCAGCTCCACGCGCACGCAGTCATGACCGAGTGTGACTGATGACTAACAGCAGAGGCATCAAGGCTCCCGTGCAGGAGGAGATAGTTGGGGGAAGAGAAAGACGGCGAAGCTAGAATAAGAACAGCTTGCCCGAGGAACGGGTGTTGTCCCTTGTTCTGTGTCCTTTGTTCCTGGCATATATATATATATATATATATATATATATATATATATATATATACAGCCGAAGTTCAGCGTTGGATGACCGTAATCTTACGAAGAGAAAATGAGAACGGCGGTTGACAACCTCATATCGTCAGGCATGCGTATGGAATCTGCAGAGACGCCCAAAGGGAGAGATTGGTTCTGAATGCCTATCACAACAATACGCGGGCCATAACCAGATTCAGCCACTAAGTAACGGCAAAATATCAGACTACACGACACTGAGCTGCATTATGTGCAAAAGCACTCGCAATCGCAAATCAATTCCAAGAGAGCCCCCCCCCCCCCCCCCCCATGTTGATCCTTGAAGGCAGAAACAGCGCTCCCACGTTGACTGAGAGAAATGCAATCTCGTGGGCAAACTGACACTAACAATAATACCATTGAGCCGTCGACTTCATTGCTCGCTCCGGTGCAGTACAAGTTGGATCTCTTCGCGAACCGAGAAGCGAACTATGTGCGCCGAATGCATTTACACGATTGTGCATACGAGTGCACGGCGCGCGAATCCAGAATGTGGTGCACGCAGCTGTGAACAAGTGTTGCTTGATCTTTTTGTCCCGCTTGTCTGCATCACCATGAACAGCTATAGTAGGTGTGCAGGCCAAAAAAAAAAAAAAACTTGGCATTTCGCTAGTGCTAATCCACTTCCACGAGATATTTCCGGCGCTAAACGAAATGCTCTCCCGTGCGTTAACGCAAGTGACGAGCATACGTAACGTGAGCAACTTCATCAGGCCCTCAGAGACGAAATTATTTCGTCAGCTCTACAAACCATCGACGCATCGCAGCGTGATTGAGCAGTGCGTAAACGTCGACGAAGCAATTAAATACAACGAGGTAGGAAAAAAATAATTTTTAAGTGTTCCAAGTGCAATGTTATGTTCGCGAAAGCATAGGTGATTTTATGGGGACCACAACATACTCTCGCACAGCTTGGCGCAACGCGATTGCACTTATCGCACTTATTCCCGTTTCCCCTAGACCTGTAATGGCGAATTATGTTCAGAAGCTGTCGCTACAAAATCGGAAAGCAAAAAAAGTGTCTCAGTAGCCAACACAATTGTCCATTATCTAATAAGCAATAGCTAGGACACATCTAAGAGGCCAAAGCTGATATTCAGGGCAGGTACAAGAAGGCACAAGCGTCATCTACCACGTTATGTTTCATGCGACAGTCATTGACTTACTTGAAAAACTCGCGTCAAAATATTTTCTACGACTACTCTCAGCAGTCTCCCTGAACAGAATGGACCGTGTGGAATAAAACATTTTCCAGAAGACCGATACGATGTGAAGCTCACCCTTTTTTTCCCCACTGTAATGGCGCATAAAATGCGCTCATTCTTTCACCAGGGTTTGTAAACGTGTGCCTTCGCACGAAGTTGTAAAAGACTATGTCTACTTAGGGCAGGTAATAACCGCAGAGCCGAACCACGAGATTGAAGTAACTAGAAGAATAAGAATGGGGTGGAGCACATTCGGCAAGCACTCTCAAATTATGACAGGTAGATTGCCACTATCCCTCAAGAGGAAGGTATATAACAGCTGTATCTTGCCTGTACTTAGCTACGGAGCAGAAACCTGGAGACTTACAAAGAGGGTTCAGCTTAAATTGAGGACGACGCAGCGAGCAATGGAAAGAAAAATGGTAGGTGTAACCTTAAGAGACAAGAAGAGAGCAGAGTGGATTAGGGAACGAACGGGGGTTAAGGATATCATAGCTGAAATCAAGAAGAAGAAATGGACATGGGCAGGGCATGTAGCGCGTAGACAGGATAACCGCTGGTCATTAAGGGTAACTGACTGGATTCCCAGAGAAGGGAAGCGGGTTAGGGGGAGACAGAAGGTTAGGTGGGCAGATGAGATTAAGAAGTTTGCGGGTATAAATTGGAAGCAGCAAGCACAGGACCGGGTTAAGTGGCGGAACATGGGAGAGGCCTTTGTCCTGCAGTGGACGTAGTCAGGCTGATGATGATGCCTTCGCACACACGACCGGTTGCAGCACCCGAAAGCTTGCCATTTAAAATGTTTTCGTTTATCATTAAATACAAACGAGTCATTATCACGAGAAATGACATTCTCTCTATTGACTCGTTCAAAGTGGCGTCACTGATAAAGCCGTTTCTGCGCTTGTTCAATACACTACGTTATTCATTAAATGATTTATTATTTAGCTCGATACGTTCATCCAACAAGGTCGTCAAGTTAGTATATATGTGTATTGTGAAGCCATACATTCATACAAATTTGCGCTGAACCTTGCAATCAGTATAGATACTATAATTTTACTACCAGCTTTGCTTTTGCGCTAATGATTTTGAAACACCCACTTTCATTTTTCTGCCGTTCTCGTTTCCATAGGTGTTACACACATTCTGTAGCAGCTACAGTGTAGGCGCAGTAGGCCAGAATAAAATTTAGATTGCAGTGCGATCTCTTGGCGAGACTATGCAAAAAAAAAAAACGTGGCTGATCCCCGTATATAAAAATCGGCATAACACAGGAGTGAAACGTGTCTTCACAGGGGTAGCTGAGCATTTATTGTGCATTGTTTCAGCAACAGCAACAAATTGCAAAGTCACGTTAGAAACGGCAAGCAGCTCGAAACTTGCAGCGCGCACCTCAAGCAGAAAGCATTCACGAAATTAGCGTACACAGGACAAGCGTGGACTAACAATTGTCCCAGCTTGACACTTAACGCTCGCTGTTCAAAAAGAATGAAAGACGCACGAAATGAGCGCTCTAGTATGCACAGGACAAGCGAGAACAGCTGTTACATTTCTTCCCGCGTCATGTGTCAGCAGCGCGCTCTTTTCGTGAACGCGGCTGTGGCTGCGTGCGAAGTGACCATCGCCCCCTCCCGAATTACGAATCTGATAAGCACGCGCGCAGGAGATACCTCGCCACTGATAACGAAAATGCGCTAAAGTTTTGAAGCCCTCAGGATTGCCAAACGGTGTATGGTGTATATAAATGGATCACCATCAGCCCTCCTGACAACGTGCTTTCTATGGCGTAGTGGTAAGCGCCGTGCGCTGGGAATCGATAGGTTGCTGGTTCGATTCCGCGAGACAGACGCTTGCCTTCTCACTTTTTTTCTTTGCAATATCTCAGTATACTGTAATAATACTCTCAGTAATAATAATACTCTCAGTACTCTCAGTAATAATACTCTCAGTATACGTTTTTCAACGTCACTTCCGTGACGGAAGTACTTCAACGGAGTCATGATGGAACCCGGCATAAAACACTTTCGTGTTAAAAAGTACAAGAAAAATAGCTGTCCCTTTTCCTTCTCATTCCCCTTAATTTTGCACGGGAAGGAACGGCACATTTACTCAATGTTGAAAATACGAGTAGCTGTGTCAATAAAAAATGTTGGTATTTGTTAGCACTCTACGATGAATATACATTCGGAGCTAGCCGTAATTAGCGCGCACGTGTAAACCAATGAGCAACACGTGCTAAGAATGGTGTCGCTTAGGGTTTAGTATTGACACGTCACGAGGTCAGCAGTGACGGGTCAACAGAAAACCCCATGCCCGATTAAATAAAGAAGTAAAAGAAACTGCAAAGTACAGAAAAAAAACGTACCCACTAAACCAAATTTTAAAGCACGTACTTGAGAATTTACCGAAGCGCGTGGAAATGAAAAAAAGGAAAAAAAATGCACAAATGTAAAAGGACGAGGAGCCACGTGTAGAAACCTGGCACTAACGACCTTCGGCAACGTGGAATCGCAATTAAGTAGCCTCCCGCTCGCCCCTTCGTTCTTAATTTTTCCCTCTTTGAAACGCCTCAGGGCACATCCTTAATTTTTTAATGTTACCGTACTTGCAGGAGAACAGATTTGAGGCAGGGCAAGATTCTTAGTATGCCGCTATACAGCCTTCGTAATTAGTTTGCACATATATTCTACGCTTCCTCTGTTCCAGCAAATACGCGTACATTGGGCAGCGCTGTATTGGGCAGGCCAGTGCGGACCGACTTCCATAGTGCGAAGTACTGTCGGCGGTGGTTGTATATCTGTCCCAAGCTCTGCGCTTAACGTCTATAGCGCGGACGGACGAACGGACACACAGAGGCGCGCGCGCGCACCTTTTTGTTTTGCATGTGTTTGTGAATTAGGCACGCCCCACTTTGACCTTTATGGTCATCCCGCCTCTTTTTTTTTTTTTTTTCAGTAACACTCCACACGCCTCGCCGACTCGCAGAACAGTGGTGGGGACAATCTTGCATGCCTAGTTCCAAAAGAAGCGCGAAAAAAAAAAACGCTACGCAGAAAGCAAACGCGCACGACATCGAATCCAGAAGCCTATACGCCGACAGCCAAAGGCTAAAAGGAAAGGTAAGAAGCGAAATACCGATGCATTTGGGAATGGCAACAGTGAGAAGGCGATAATCGATCCATTATACGCACCCTTCGCACTCCGACGCAGACGGCGAGTCCGTGAAGCGTCCCGTCGGCTAATGCGGCCGCATCTTGGCCCCCGATTCGCCGGCGCAATGCCGATGCCCGGAACTTGTTCCTCACGGCCTGCGCATCGAGAGAAATCATTAGCACGCGACAGGACGTACGTTAAAATCCATCGCACAAACATCTGCACTGAAAACATCTGAGACGACATCCGAGAAGCGGATTACACGTTGACGCCCACCGACGGCGTAGCGTTGAGCAAAACACACACGAGAAACGGGAACTGTTGGAACGTAAAAAGAACTTCGCATATGTCAAAAAACATTATTCATCATAGAACTCATGACATCAAAGACACGAAATGGGTTTAATACGAGCGTCCACGAGTATGCATTTAATACAGACACATCACAGGTATACGTTATACGGCATTCGATAAGACGACAGTGATGCTGCGTTCACTAAACTCGCCCACCGATACGCGGCGTCACCCAAGCGGCAAGTGCTGGCATGACCTAATGTATACATAGCGGTACAGCATTCCCATAAATCTCAAAGAACAAACAGCTGCTCGACTTACTTTGAGAGCCGGACAGGGAGGGCAGAACGACAGCGCACATCACATCTATATTTAGAGAATTGCGCTACATGGGTCATATAGGACGCTTCTCACACACCAGATGTGTACAAAAGCCTCAGGGCGATAGGGTCCGTCAAACATCCGAGCTTTATACTTCTACATACAGCAGTGCGAACGAGCGGCAACGCAAACATGAAATGCAAAGCGGAGGCGATGCAAGCGAACGGCAAGATTGATTCAGGTACTGACGTTCGACGGTTCGCGCGTGTATACACATATACCTATAAGTTCGGACCGTCGTTGCCATTCACCTCGGGTGAAGACACGCTAACGCAGTTGCGCCCGCTATCTCCGCGTCGCGAAATTCAATCGAAAGGGCAACGCAGTATGCCGTCGTTCGAAAAGAATGCAAATCTTTGTTCTTTCCCAGGCATGCAAGCTTGCGAGAAAAGGAAGAAGAATCAAGCTCGTCCCATCTGTCGATTTTCGTGATATTCAGCAGTGATTTTCGCGCTGTCATGCAGCATGTTACTATCGCACATCGGCACATCGTTACTAAGTTGGATGTTTTCGGATATTTGCTCTAAAAAGAGCCAAATGCAACTGAATCTGAGAAAACAAGTTTTTGCTACCGAACATATGGTCTGCGTGCAATAACTTACACTCGCTAAGGTAAAAATGAAAGTAAACAGGCATTGACGTTTCGGGCCCCATACGGGTCCCTTGATCACAATGAAGATGCCAGCATGGGCATGCGGGTCTGCTCAAACAATTTTTTGCCAGTATGTTCCTCTCGCCTAAATACCTCAAATCTATATCATGGTTAAAATCTACATTGCTGATATTGTCGGTATTCGGGAGCAGAGTTTGGATTTGATTCATATAGATTGAAACGCTTGAGATGGGTTCGAACTAGATCATAAAATGGGTCTAAAACTTATTCTTTAAATTCAAGTTTTCCATTACCTTAAATTTACTTCTTTACCTTCCACTGAATTAAATCATTCAGTAAGTGCCGACTTGCGCTAGATAAACTTATTGTGAAACTTATTGTGGAACGTTTAAACACGATAGCACAGCCTTAAATGAAACGGATTGGATGAGACCATGTTGGTTATTTTCGTCACAACTGTTGACGCAGCCCTCATTAAACGACTGCTGCTCACATCAATTGAAACAGAAGTAGCACTTGGCTCATTTATGATAGGAAACGGCCTTATTGAGTTCACGTTACAATCTGACATTGCCAAATTTTGGTTCCAGATGTTTTGAAGTTAAAGACACTTAGGTGCGCTTTTCGCTCCCGTGAGATTTGGCGTAGTATCAGTTTCTGCCTTTGCATCCTTTTTTGAAAAAAAAAAGCCACATATTATGAAGACTGCGCCAAGAGTTGTTAACATAGTAAAAAACACGAGAAAAAAGCCGGCCGCATTCCTTAATTGATTTGACTGTACCAGCATGCTGCAAGGGGTGGCTTACTGTGGTCTCGATGGCAATTGTATGCTTATAGAAGCACAAAAAAAAAAACACGGGACAAGCATTTTGTCCTGTGTATCTCTGCTTCATCCATCGCCCCCCCCCCCATTCCCCCCCCCCCTTGCTTCATAACCATGATCTAATTCGAACAAAATCAGATAATTGTGTTCTCAATTTTATGTTTCAGTGGAAACACTAATGTCAAGCATTTGCATCTTGGCTGAAAAGCAGTGTGTCACTTCGCAACTTAAGGTAAATCAATACTTGAGGCCTGTGTATTCGAATTTAGGTACACTAACCCCCGTATTCTAGAACATCCCTTCCTTCAACGCTTCACCTTCACTTGAGAAAGCCGATGGGAGCGCCGTCTCTAGGCACGGCAAGTCACCGCATATCAGCGATAATCTGCTGCGATTCTCGAGTAGCGCGACGTCATTTTCAGCCGAGCGGTGGCGCAGTCCTCAACTCTGTCAAGTGAAGGGTGGAAGTCGAATCGAGGAGCGTTTGTGAATACGGGGGTCCTCATAATCCCTCAGCGCCCCTCATATTCGTATTGTAGTTTTAAAACGTGAAACCCCAACAATTAGAGAAGATGAACCGGTCTTTGAAGCTCGCCATGTTGTGTCCTGCAGCGCAACATAAAAAAAAAAGACACTGAATGGGTTCCTTCGACAGACACGCGCTATATGCGAGTAACCCCAATGAGCTGTAAATAATGAAGTAATGTCAAGTAACAGCGGTATCGCGCTCTTTGAAAGTCAAAGTTTAAAGTTGAACGTTCAAAGTCATAGCTCACACATGTGACACGGAGCAGCGCATATAGTACGTAGCACGCCACCGAAAACACCGACAACACTTTCCCACACTGTGTAGCCTCAAGGTATCCGCAAGCGTGAAGCGTGAGCAAAACACTTTCCAGAGAAAAAAAAAAGAAACGGCAGATATGGAGGTTAAAAGCAACGCTTTCAAGCGTCTGCTTCCTTTCACAGGAGCAACGCCAGAGATTACACGAGATCACGTAATCATACAACCTTACGCATTACAACAATCACCGTGCCCGCGTCTCTTCTAGTGGCGGGCCTCGTGCCTAATATGGCGCATTTTACCGCAGCCGAGAAACGTTTCGCCATCGTTAAAGATGACTCGAATTCCCAATAGAGGATACAACTACAACCTTTTGGGCTGTAAGGCTGCATCGTATAATTTTATTTGGGCAATGTATGACAGCGAATGCACCACAAGTTGATCCTCGTTTGCGAAACGCGTTTCTAAGATACACCTTGTTGTATGGTTATGGTGAAACTCTGGTCGTATTTACATGACCGAAACGAAAAAGAAGGCAAACCTTAACGCATCATCACAACAAAACTGACACTATTTCAGAATATGCTGTAGGGGTTCGGAAAAAAATGTATCTATAAAAGAAGCGGAACTAACGCGACTAAAGCCGAACATCCAACAGTGACCCAAAACGTTGTACTTCGAAGATCATAACAGATTACTTACGTTAGCCGCACGAGTACGACCCCGAAGAAAGGCGAAGAAAGGCGGTGATGTTCATGCAGCCCTAAAATATTTTCATCACCGTCGATTCTTTACATATCGGGAGAAACTGCGTTTTTTATTTTACTTTGAAAACCGAATCTACTCGAGTAAAATAATGAGATTGACAATGTCCATCCGCGAGGTGAAGACCACTTCGCAAATTACAGACCACCATTAAAGCCCGAAAAGTTGCATAGTTCCTTCGAACCCTGGTGAACAGGTTGAGCCAATGTATTGATTCGAATTACTTTTATGGTGGCTCGGTGAGCTTTATCTTCCCCCTTCGCTCTGTATATAAGTGAACTCCTTCGAGCTAGTGACCACCAAAAAAAGAGGACCGGGTTTCAGAACTATGCAAACTAAACGGCAGAATAGGCAGCCTGTAACGAATGCGAGATGCACAAACCATCTTCCAAATATAGTACCCGACAATTGCTCTTTTTACTGATAAGATCTATGAGGAGACGTTCGCAAGTGGAGTGCGTGAACTGAACGCCGTAAAGGCGAAATAAAATGTCGACGCGTCGATAAGACATACCGCACAAAACTTCAGTAAACATAGATCTCCAATAACGGCGTCAGCGATTTGATGCGCACGGTTGTATACAAAGAGGAAGGAAGTGAACGCATTCCCTCGATTCTTTTTTTCGCAACGGTTCTTTTTTTTTTTTTGTCAGATACGCATCATGCTTATCTGCGCTATCCTTCTTTCACTTCTGTATGCGCTCTACAAACGCGTGGTATCAAATTGATACTATGTCACGAAATTGCTAGCGCAGTGAGCATCTGCATGCCCCCCCCCCCCCCACACACACACACTATTGTTATCGTATACACGTACACGTTATCTGCAGCGCTATCTCAAATGGTCGATGTAGCCAAGCGTTAATCTGTATGCAGAATGACGTTACTAAAAAAAACGGATCGAGTACTAGATTCACTTTACCCACCGAATGTTGATCATCCTATCGGAGTCATGTGGTTTTGCTATGAATTTAACGTCCCAGAAACCACGACATGAACATGAGAGACGCCGTAGTGAAAGACTCGGTAAATTTCGACTACTCGCACTTCTTCAAGGTGCACTTAATTAAGCACACGGGCCTCGAGCATTTTCGCCTCCATCGCAGTGCTCGTGCGTATACTCTGAAGTTACGTCGCAAAACCTTGTGATGGCGTCAATAAGTTACACTTGGCTCACTTTGAAAATAAATTTGATTAGGAAGCGATCGACTGTTCTTGCCAGTCTCGTCATTCGCCACCAATGTTGTCGCGCTTAACGTCGGTGCTACTATACAAGCACGATAAACAGTCTCTCAGAAGTGAATGTGGCACCTCGGCAGTTGAGTGAACGAAAACAAAGGAGGTAAATGACAAATGAAAGAAATCAATAGTCACTGTGACAGCCGCAGTGGTGAGAGTCGAGAATAAAGTTAGAAGAACACTTCAGATTCGTTTGAAGGCACCCGATGATCCTTGGGTGAGCGCGATTGAATTGCGTCACCGCCAGGAGACGGCA